ATAATTGTTGTCATCAAACAACCAACAGTCGATATCTATTTGAAACTTCAAGCTCAATATCCAGAAACACTTACTTGTCCATGCTCATCGATTTCTATCGAGTATAAACAATTTATTTCATTTCAACCAACGTTTCATCAAATATGTTCGAGTGATTTTGTAACAACCAATTGGATAGATTCTTTTGTAACACGTGTTACTTTGGTTAGATATGATATTCGCAGTATAGGCTCGATTTATTTTACAACACTATCAAAATTCTGTAATCTATCACTCGAAACAATTAATAATGCGTTACTCAGTTTTAATTCAACTAAATATACGACAAGAAATGTTCAACAACTTGATCTTTTTCAATCTCAAACAGAAAAAATTATCGATGATCTAGAAAAATCTACTACCAATTCGTTTCTGCAATTATTATCGATATATAAACATACTTTCATCGATAATGCACTTTTTTCAGGATATTTATCCAGTTATCGTTATACTACTATCACTGACAATTCATCAAATTCATTAAACCAAGTTTTCTTTCCTGCCGTTTATAGTCCTGATGAAAATGATAGTGGTATCCGTTGTTCCTGTAAAACATCTCCATTGACATGCGGTCAATCCACAGGTATTTATGAAGCATCAGGAAATGATAATTTTCTTATATTTATTGTACCTGGTATTCGTGTCAGTTGTTTTCTGACAGACTCGCTATTGCAATCAACATTGGAGTGTTTCTTTGATCAACAGTGTTTCGATAAAGTGCAGAATTTTACAGTCTCAACTTCGCGATTTCCATTCACTACGACAGCTTTGAAATACAATTCGACAAACACACAATACAACACAAATACTAGCATTGGAGATATTGTGGATAATTTAATGATTGAACAATGGAACAATAAAACATCTTTTACATCTTATTTTGAGCAGTGTAATTCACAATCATGTACGTATAGTTACACAAGACAGGGTGACCTTCGTTATATACTCACAACAATTATTGGATTGATTGCTGGATTGATAACTATATTACGAGTTCTTATACCACCAATTGTTTCTTTTGCTAGACGAAAAAAGAAACCACTTATATCGCCCATTAAGAGTAAGTGAGAAACATGATCTTCCTTTTTTTTGCTAAGTTATCTCTTTTTTTTATTGAAGCACCTCAACATGTATCACATACTCGTATTCAACAAATGTTGATCTCATTGAAGACTATTATTTTGACGTTGAATTTATTCAAAAATATAAATAAACGATCCGATAACCAACTGTATCGTCAACGTATTGCAACACGTATTTACCTTATTCTCTCATCCCTCTCGCTTACTATTATTCTACTATTCATTGCCCTCGAAAATAGCACACATACTATAACAGTTGAGCATCCGACCATTGATCAGTACAATGCACTTCTGCGACAATACTCAGATTCCTTATATTGTTCTTGTACAACAATATCAGTTGAATATCAAGATATAATCTCATTTCAACCTCGTTTTCATACAATATGCTCAAGTATTTTTATTAATCCTACTTCAGTATGGTTATCAATTGATTATCCAGC